GGGATGCAGGTCTGGTTCAACATATGCGAGTCTATAAACGTAACTCACCAAATAAACAAACCAAAGACAAAAACCACATGATTATCTCAATTGATGCAGAGAAGGCCTTTGACAAAATTCAACAGCCCTGTAGCCTAAAAACCCTCAATTAACTCAGAATGTATCTCAAAATAATATAAGCTATTTATGAAAGACCAACAACCAATATCACACTGAATGGGCAAAAACTGGAAGCATTCCCTTTGAAATCCGGCACTAGATGAGGATGCCCTCTTTCACCACTCCTATTCAATATAGTACTGGAAGTTCTAGCCAGAGCAATAAGGCAAGAAAAAGAAATAAAGTGTATTCAGATAGGAAACGTGGAGGCCAAATTGTCTCTATTTGCAGATGACATGATAGAATACCTAGAAGACCCCATCTTCTCAGCCCAAAAACTCCTGACACTGATAAGCAACTTCAGCAGTCTCAGGATATAAAATCAATGTGCAAAAATCACAAGCATTCCTCTACACCAATAACAGACTTAAAGAGAGCAAATTCAAGAACAAACTGCCACTCACAATTGCTACCAAAAAAAAAAAAAAATACAACTTACAAGGAATGTAAGGAACCTCTTCAAGGAAAACTACAAACCACTGCTCAACGAAATCAGAGAGGACACAAACAGATGGAGAAACATTCCATGTTCATGGTTAGGAAGAATTAATATTGTGAAAATGGCTATACTTCCCAAAGTAATTTACAGAATGAACACTATACCCATCAAGCTACCAATGACCTTCTTCACAGAACTAAAAAAAAAAAAAAAACCATGAACTTCATATGGAACCAAAAAAGAGCCCGCATAGCCAAGTCAATACTTAGCAAAAAAAACACATCACACTACTGGACTTGAAACTATACTACAAGGCTACAATAATCAAAACAGCATGGTACTGGTACCAAAACAGAGATATAGACCAATGGAACAGAACAGAGGCATTGGAGGCAACACAGCATGTCTACAACCATACAATCTTTGATAAACCTGACAAAAACAAGCAATGGGGAAAGGATTCCCTATTTAATAAATGGTGTTGGGAAAACTGGCTAGCTATGTGCAGAAAAAAGAAACTGGACCCCTTCCTGAAACCTTACACTAAAATTAACTCGCAATGGATTAAAGACTTAAACAGAAGACCTGGCACGATAAAAACCCTAGAAGAAAATCTAGGCAAAACCATTCAGGACATAGGAGTAGGCAAGGACTTCATGAACAAAACACCAAAAGCATTGGCAACAAAAGCCAAAATAGATAAATGGGACCTAATCAAACTCCAAAGCTTCTGCACAGCAAAAGAAACAGTCACTAGAGTAAATTGACAACCAACAGAATGGAAAAAAATTTTTGCAGTTTACCCATCTGACAAAGGGCTGATATCCAAAATTTACAAAGAACTCAAACAGATTTACAGGAAAAAACAAACAAGCCCATTCAAAAATGGGTAAAGGATATGAACAGACACTTTACAAAAGGAGACATACATGAGGCCAACAAACATATGAAAAATTGCTCATCATCACTGGTCATTAGAGAGATGCAAATCAAAACCACATTGAGATACCATCTCACACCAGTTAGAATGGCGATCATTAAAAAATCTGGAGACAACAGATGCTGGAGAGGATGTGGAGAAATAGGAACACTTTTACACTGTTGGTGGGAGTGTAAATTAGTTCAACCATTGTGGAAGACGGTGTGGCGATTCCTCAAGGCCTTAGAAACAGAAATTTCATTTGATTCAGCAATCCCGTTACTGGGAATATATCCAAAGGACATAAATCATTCTATTATAAGGACACATGTACACGAATGTTCATTGCAGCACTGTTTACAATAGCAAAGACCTGGAACCAACCCAAATGCCCATTGATGATAGACTGGACTGGGAAAATGTGGCACATATACACCATGGAATATTATGCAGCAATCAAAATGATGAGTTCGTATCGTTTGTAGGGACATGGATGAATCTGGAGAACATCATTCTCAGCAAACTGACACAAGAACAGAAAATGAAATACCACATATTCTCACTCATAGGCAGGTGATGAAACATGAGTGCACATGGACACAGGGAAGGGAGTACTACACCCTGGGTTCTATTGGGGGGAATAGGGGAGGGCCAGCATGGTGGGGGGAGCTGGGGAGGGATAGCCTGTGGAGAAATGCCAAATGTGGGTGAAGGAAAGGAAGGCAGCAGAACACACTGCCATGTGTGTACCTATGCAACTATCTTGCATGTTCTGCACATGTATCCCAAAACCTAAAATGAAATAAAAAAGATTTATTTTCTCAAACAAATAAAGACAGAGTTTAAAATTTAAAAAAAAAAAGAGCCAAATTAAGAATGAACTGCCATTCACAATTGCTGCAAAGAGAATAAAATACCTAGGAATACAACTAATAAGGAATGTAATGGACCTCTTCAAGGAGAACTACAAACCACTGCTCAACAAAATAAGAGAGGACACAAACAGATGGAGAAACATTCCATGTTCATGGTTAGGAAGAATCAATATCGTGAAAATGGCCATACTGCCCAAAGTAATTTACAGATTCAATGCTATTTTCATCAACCTACCACAGAACTGGAGAAATCCACCTTAAACTTCATATAAAACCAAAAGAGAGCCTGCATAGCCAAGTCAATTCTAAGCACAAAGAAGAAAGAGGGAGGCGTCACACTACCAGACTTCAAACTATACTACAAGTCTACAGTAATCAAAACAGCATGGTACTGCTACCAAAACAGAGATATAGACCAATAGAACAGAACAGAACAGAGGCCTCGGAGGCGACACAGCATATCTACCACCATCCCATCTTTGTCCAATCTGACAAAAACAAACAATGGGGAAAGGATTCCCTGTTTAATAAATGGTGTTGGAAAAACTGGCTAGCCATGTGCAGAAAGCAGAACCTGGACCTATTCCTGACACCTTACACTAGAATTAACTCCAGATGGATTAGAGACTTAAACATAAGACCTGGCACCATAAAAACCCTAGAAGAAAACCTGGGCAAAACCATTCAGGACATAGGAGTAGGCAGGGACTTCATGACCAAAACACCAAAAGCATTGGCAACAAAAGCCAAAGTAGACAAATGGGACCTAATCAAACTCCACTGCTTCTGCATGGCTGAAGAAATAGTCATTAGAGTGAATCAGCAACTAGCAGAATGGGAAAAAAATTTTGCAGTCTACCTATCTGACAAAGGGCTGATATCCAGAATTTACAAAGAACTAAAACAGATTTACAAGAACGAAACAAACAAGCCCATTCAAAAGTGGGTGAACGATATGAACAGACACTTTACAAAAGAAGACATACATGAGGCCAACGAACATGAAAAAATGCTAATCATCACTGGTCGTCAGAGAAATGCAAATCAAAACTACATTGAGATACCATCTCACTTTAGTTAGAATGGCGATCATTAAAAAATCTGGAGACAACAGATGCTGGAGAGAATGTGGAGAAATAGAAACACTTTTACACTGCTTGTGGGAGTGTAAATTAGTTCAACCATTGTTGAAGGCAGCGTGGCTATTCTTCAAGGACCTCAAAATAGAAATTCCATTTGACCCAGCAATCCCATTACTGGGTATATATCCAAAGGATTATAAATCGTTCTACTATAAGGACACATGCACACGAATGTTTATTGCAGCACAGTTTACGATAGCAAAGACCTGAAACCAACCCAAATGCTCATCAATGATAGACTGGACAGGGAAAATGTGGCACATCTACACCATGGAATATTATGCAGCAATCAAAAACGATGAGTTCATGTCCTTTGTAGGGACATGGATGAAACTGGAGACCATCATTCTCAGCAAACTGACACAAGAACAGAAAATCAAACACTGCATGTTCTCACTCATGGGTGGGTGTTGTACAATGAGCACACATGGACACAGCGAGGGCAGCACTACACACTGGGGTCTGTTGGGGGGAATAAGGGAGGGGCAGCAGGGGGTGGGGAGTTGGGAAGAGATAGCATGGGGAGAAATGCCAGATATAAGTGAAGGTGAGGAAGACAGCACATCACACTGCCATGTGTGTACCTATGCAACAATCTTGCATGTTCTTCACATGTACCCCTAAACCTAAAGTGCAATAAAAAAAGAATAATTTTAGTTATGATTAAGAATTCTTATCAATTACCGCAATAGATTTTTGTAAATAGTTTTTGATAAGGACAAAGTGTTTCATAAAGTATAGATATTAACTTAATCAGTATAACATAATTATTCATGTAATTTCATAAGTGCCCAGCAGACCTAAATCCTCTGGAAGAGACTCTCTACTCTCTGTCCAATGATAGCAGTTTCTTCAATAATAGTCATTGAACTGACACTCTTATCTTGAACCTGGCAGTGTAGGTATATAAAAAATAAAATAGTTCTTAAAAGTTTACCACGTAATAGGAAGATGAAATAGTATTCATGGCTTAAGAAGGATTTTAGGATTTTTTAATTAAAATAGCAGGATACTGGAAGCCATATGTAGTCCTGGTTCATCCTTAGAAAATGAAAAAGACTCAAAAGATTTGTAAATATTATGTTAATTATTAACTAGAAAGTGTTTATTTGTGTGGATATACATGCATTATCTATAAATGAATGTGAATATACATGAGTGTGTGGGTCTGCAGTTGGAAAATTATTTGGTGTATAGATTAAAATTCTTTCTACCAGTTAATAATGTTAACATTAACAATTTCTTAAGATTTAATATGATATGTATCATAGCTTCTGATCATTCAGAATGTTATTATTATTAAATAAACGTATATGTTTTTCTATTTACTTAGACTGCATGCTTTTGATTGCCAGCAACCCTTGAAACCCAAAACTAATATTTTGTATAATCCTGTTATTACAATTGCTATTATATTACTTCTTGGAAACACTTTTCTAAACTAATTCATGTGATTAATGTCTCAGATTATTCAGTGATGTTGCACTGGTATAAAATCTTACTGGGAATATCTGGAACCATGAATGGTATTCTGGCTTTGACTTTGATTTCTCTGATCCTGTTGGGTAAGTTAGAAGATCTGAATTTCATAAAAATATGAAAGATGTTTGCTTGTCTCTCACAAATCTTTTTGTAATCATTCATTCTTCATTACATTAACCAAGATTGAATTAGAAGCTACTGCATGTAAAACTCTATTAGTATACTCCACAGTGGTATATTAAATATGCAGTAAAATCAGGTAAATATTTTGTTCTCAAGTGGCATACAGTCTAATACAGAGAAAAGTGTGTGTGTGTGTGCGTGTGTGTGTGTGTGTGTGTGTGTGGTATTTGAAAGCATTATTCTATGTTTCTTAGATACTTATCATAGATATAATTTTACTGTTTTAAATATTTTAATACATTTTATCTAAGGTTGTATTTAGTTTGCATTTCCTTTTGACCAACAAATACTTACTGAGCAACTATAACACTCTAAATATTATTACAAATTCCACAATTTTTTAAAAAAGAGAATAACCAGAGTGAGGAATATATATTCTAGAGGGGGAAGGAGGTATTAAGTAATTATGGTACAATGTACTGAATACAGCGTTGGAGGTTGCAGTTAAACATTAAGAAGGGATGAAAAAAGCCTATATACTTCCAAGAGAAGAAACATTGCTTTATTCACTATTGTATTACCAGTTCATAGGAACATGTGGCATAGAATAGATTCTCACCAAATATGTGTTGTATAATAATTTATTTTGTAATATTGTGAATTCTTTCCATCAGCAGACATAAAAATTTTAAAAAGATCTTAGTGACCCCTTTGATTATTTCTTCAAATCAAAGTTCCAATCATCAGAATAATTCCAGTGAATGTGTCTCTGAAACATTCCATAGAGAAGATATTTACCTAATCTTAAAATAGTCCTGTATTCAAGTTTCTCAGGGAATATTGCTAAAATGCCAAAAAGGAAGTCCTTCAAATATCACCCAGTATGAGGATACTGGAGACCTAAAAGTGAACAATGGCACAAGAAGAAATATAAGTAATAAGGACCTTTGTATTTTGAGATCTACAGACCAGACAGGTATGTCTCAGGCTTTGGCTTATCCTAATTTTAATCTTTTGGACTCTTTAAATGTGAAGTCTTATTGAACAGGTATGAAATAGATTAAACTAACAAGTAAAGATTTGGTATAAATCTACTTTTATTTTATTTTTCATACTTTAAGTTCTGGGGTACATGTGCAGAATGTGCAAGTTTGTTACACAAGTATACACATGCCATGGTGGTTTGCTGCATCCATTCCCCTGTCATCTACATTAGATATTTCTCCTAATGTTATCCCTCCCAAATTCCATATCTTTAAACTTGTTGCAGTGAGATAAGAATTCTCAAACAACATAAGAAATAGGCTCTGCCATCCAGGAGGTTAAAATCAAGTTGATACATATAAATATGGAAAGTTAGTTGTTATTGAAAAGTAGTATGTAAATAGCCCTTCTTGTTTGTCACTTATTTATTCTTCTTTTTCTGAAACACAAACTGGATAAAAGTCAATATTTAAAAAATTATTTGTTATGATTTTAAACTTAGACTTTTAACTTAGAAATTCCAGTCATACAGAATTATTTTGAAAACATAACGTTCTATTTTTAGACATCTAAGTTTAAGTTTTTAATACTTACCTCTGAGAATCTTGACATTTATTTTATTGTATGAGATAATATTTTATTGCTTTCCAGAGAAATGTATAATTATTATCAAAGGATTTTTTTCTAATCTACTGGTTTGTATTGCTTCCTTTATAATATGTGAAAATTTGATATATTTTATCTTCTACTTATTGACACTTTTTTCACTTGCCTTATACATATATTAGTCCCAAACCAACTGAAATTTTGTAGCTCTAACTCATATTTTATTGTCTGTCTGTAATATCTGTCATTATGGTGGGTATCATTGCAATGACACCTTAGAAAAGGTAAGGCAGCTTTAGAGGTAAACATGAAATCATGTACATGTCATTAAACGTTAATTAAAGTAGGTATAAATACTGTATATTAGCTATAATATATTTATTTCATATTCCTTTTCATTTTTTAACTGAGGTACAATTCAATATGTTGAACCTTTCAAAGTAAATAATTTTATGGTGTTTAGAACATTCAAACATTGTGCAACTACCATGTTTACCTAGTTGAAAAACTTTTCCCCAAAAGAAACCCTTTACATACCCACTTAGCAAATCACTCTCCATTCTCCCTCTCCTTAGCCTCTGACAACTACAAATCTTCTTTCAGTCTGTATGGATTTACCTATTCTGGATTTTCATGTAATAGAATCACACAATATTTGGCCTTTGACATCTTTCACTTAGCATGATATTTTTAAAGATCATCCACATTATATTACTTTTCATGGCTGAATAGTCCATTGCATGTACACACATGCATATATTCATATGTATCTATATATCTATGAATATTTGTAGTTAGATGTATATCTGTAAATGTAGATATGCACAATGTTTGTGTGTACAGAGCTTAAAGGTCAGCCAGAGGTGAGATCTTAGGACCTTTTCAGGTAATTTCTGAGCATGCACTCAACCCAGGGCTTGTGCCTGGCCTTCCAGATTTTCAGGATTATGTGGGAGCTTTTCAAAGTCCTTATTCACTGAAACAGCTCCCCAGCTTTTTCCCTCATGCTTTTCAATTAGTCTATTGTTTGTTCCAACTGCTATACCTTGTCTCAGGTGGCAAAAAACTAACACACTGGTCTTTGATTCTACAAACATGCTTTGGTAGCCTTATGGCAGATATCTAAGTCTTTTTTACTGGCAGTGATATCTACTGCTAAAACAATTCAAGGGCCCATAGATGCTCTGGATTTCATAGAAACTCACGAAGGACTCAGTTACATGTTGTCTGCTAATTCTACAAATAACACCTCACCTGACTTCAGTCAAAATTACTACTGATAGCAAGGCTGCCTCTTTGCTAGGCCATACAAACCACCTATAGCCAGGCCCCTGCTTTAGGGTGAGCCCTGAGAACAAGAGAGTTTATATTGGACCTCGAAAGACAAGTGGGTCCCAGGTTGGATAATCTCTGGTAAATTGATCAAACAATTACAATACTTACTAGGGTTAGATGACAACAGTGGCAATCTTCTCCTTAGCTTCTGGAAGTAATCTTTCCTTCTGCCCCTGCCTCTGTATCCATGAGTTACAGGATCCCGCTCCACACAGGGATATAGTGGGCATGAAAGCAGGCCTCTTCTAGTAGATATTCACTCTGTTACCACATTAATTGAGGTTGAGTCTTCAAAAATTAAACAATTCTGACTGGCTCTGTTAGACACAAAGGCCCAAATTCCCCTTTTTCCATAAGTTAAAGTGATTTTTCTAGTAGGTGACTAGCTTTGCGGGAAGGTTAATTAAAGGGGCAATTCCCTACTCAGATATTAAAATTGGCACCATTTTGCTAAAAGATGTTTCCATCCATGTTGTCCCCCAAGATTATTCATTTGCTCACCCTTGGAATTGACCTTCTCAATCAGCATGTGATCTCATGGAAAGCTTTTACACCATCATCAGGCACCACATGGTGGAAAACTGTTAATCTTCCCCACCAGTGTGAGTGGTAAATACTCTAAGATATCAAGCAAGGCAAAGCACTGCAAGACAATGGTCTGTTATAGGTGACTTTTGCAAAGGAATTCTAGTCTTTACCACGTTGGTTTTTTTTCTTTCATTTTTTTTCTTTCTTTTTTTAAAATTGTGCTTTAGGTTCTGGGGTACATGTGCAGATCATGCAGGATTGTCGTATATGTACACACATGGCAACGTGGTTTGCTGCCTTCATCCCCCTGTCGCCTATATCCAGCATTTCTCCCCATGTTATCCCTCCCCGACCTCCCTACCCCCACACTGTCCCTCCCTTGGCACCCCCAACAGACACCAGTATGTGATGCTTCCCTCCCCATCTCCCTGTGTTCTCATTGTTCAACATCCACCTATGAGTGAGAACAACCATGTTGCTTTTTAACTTCCTGGTATGGCCTATGTTTTAAGCCACTACTAGAGAGTGAAGGCTAACTATAGACTACAGAGAAATAAGAAAAAATATTCCTTTTATTAGAGCACCTCTACTGGATAATTGCTTAAATGAATGACCTTCAAAACAACATGGGTAAATGGTTTGGGTACAGACTTAGCTAATATGTTCCATTTAGTAAAAATTTTGCAGGAAAATCAATCACAATTTGCCTTCACTTTTACTTGGTTGTTGCTATGGACTGAATTGTGCCCTCCCCCAAATTTATATGTTAAAATTCTAACCCCCAATGCGATGGCATTTGGAAATGGAGTCTTTAGGAGGTAATTAGATTTAGATGATGTCAGGAGGATGTGTCTTACTCAGTTTGGGCTGCTGCAGCAAATGACCCTAAACTAGGTGGCTTATAAACCACAGATATTTATTCCTCACAGATCTAAAGACTGGAAGTCTGAGATCATGGTGCCAGCATGCTTGAGTTCCAGTGAGGGCCCTCTTCTCTGTTGCAGACTGCCAGCTTCTTATTGTAATCTCTCATGGCAGAGAGCAGAATGACTCAAGTTATCTCAGGACTCTTACGGGTACTAATCCCATTCTGATCCTCATCTATTCTTAGCTCCCAAATGCCCACCTCCTAACACCATCGTATTGGGAGGTAGGATTTCAGCATATGAATTTTGGGGTATGCAAACATTCAGTTCATATAGTTTTACCTCCAACTTCCAAAATTCATGTCCTTCTAACATGTTAAATGGAAAAGACAACACACCAAAAGAGAAAGATATATTCATAAATTTTGTATCAGTTAGGGGTATTTCATTCAGAACATATAAAGAATGCTTATAACTCAAAAACACAACCCAACTTAAAAATAAGCAAAGAACATGAATAGACATGTCTCACAAAAACACTGTACAAAAGGCCAATAAGCACTTGAAAAGATGTTTAATATGATTAGTCATTAGGGAAATGTGAAATCAAAATCATGGTGGAAAGCCACTGCATACCCACCAGGATGGCTATAATCACACAAAAAGAGCAAGTGTTTGTGGGAATATGGAGAATCACTCATATATTGCTGGTAGGAATGTAAAATTGTATAGTACTGTGGAAAACAGTTTGACAGTTCCTCAAATGATCACATGACCCAACATTCAACTTTTAGGTATATATCCAATAAAAGGAAAGACACATGTCTTTACAAAATTTTGTACATGAATGTTTATAGTCACAATATTCATAATAGCCGAAAGTGGGAGCAGCTCAGTTGTCCATCAGCTGATGAAGGAATAAACAAAATACACCACATACATGTTATGAGATATTCTTACAGCCATAAAATAGAATGTAGTACTGATATATGCTACAACTTTTCTGAACCTTGAAGCATTGTGGTGAATGAATGAAAAAGCCAGATACAAAAAGCCATGTATTGTATGACTTCATTTATATGAAAAGTCTATCACAGTCAAATCTATGGAGACATAAAGCAGGCTAGTGGTTTCCAGGGCTGGGGGATTAGAAGAGGAATAGTGACTACTTAGTGCTTGTATGTGATGAAAATGCTCTAGAGTGAGATAGTAGTGATAGTTGTACAACACTGTGAGTGTGTTAAAAGCCACTGCATTTATACTTTAAAATGGCTACAATAGTGAATTTTGTGCTACATGAAGTAAATTAATCTTGATAAAAAATAAATAATTTAAAAAGAGAGAGATTGTAATGGGCCATAAGTTAAAATAGTTATATTAATCTTTATGTATATTTTTATATATACCTCACTTTTTCTCAATACTATGCCAAAAATTCTCAATATTTTCCATTTAGTTTAATTTAACTTAATTTTAATTTAGGAAAAGCAAAGAACTTCATAATATTGCAGTTATAAAGAGATTGAAAATAAAAAGGTTGAAAATAAATTATCACTCAATATTATTTAATTATTAATTATTTAATATTAAGAGGGAGAAGGGAATACACCTTCAAAACTACAGGGAGAGCAATTTTAAAACTCTGTCTTTCATTTGCATTTCCTCTAATGATCAGTGATGTAAACCATGATGAGGTACCAACTCACACCCGTCAGAATGGCTATTATTAAAAGTAAAAAAACATGCTTGTGAGGATGTGGAGAAAAATGAATGTTTACACACTGTTGGTGAAAGTGTAAATTGGTTCAGCCCTAATGGAAGACTGTGTGGCAATTCCTCAAAGACCTAAAGAAATACTCGACCCAGCAATTCACTGGGTATATATGCAAAGGAATGTAAATAATTGTATTATAAAGACATATGCGTGTTCATCACAGCACTATTCACTATAGAAAAAAACATGGAATCAACGTAAATTTTCATCAGTAGTAGACTGGATAAAGAAAATGTCCATATAAACCATGGAATACTATGCAGTCACAAAAAAAGATCGTTTCCTTTCAGGGACATGGATGGAGCTGGAGGCTATTATCTTTAGCAAACTAATGCAGGAACAGAAAGCCAAATATTGCATGTTCTCACTTATACGTGGGAGCTAAACGATGAGAACACATGGGCACATAGAGGGAAACAACACACACTGGGGCCTACTTGAGGGTGGAGGGTGGGAGGAGGGAGAAGATCAAGAAAAATAACTAATGAGCACTGGCCATGTTGCAACTTGATGTTGCAATAATCTGTACATAAAACACCTATGACACAAATTTACTTGTGTATCAAACCTACATGTGTACCCCTGAACTTAAAAGTTAAAAAAAAAAAACTTTGTGTGGATAAATTCTAAGTGATACAAATTATATTTTATCTAATATCTTAAACAGCATTAATGCAATATACATTTTAATTTGTTCATGCTATTCTAGTCAATATAATAGATCTTGGCATTAAAAATCCCATTAAGTCTAGGTTTTCCTTCATCTCATTAAATTAATTGTCTTAGTCCCCAAGGCTTATCATTTGTGTTTTGGCCATCTTTTGAGTCTGGACAATTTGCTATGAATAATTTTGTTGTAGCTCAACTCTTGTTCATACGATATATAAGTATTGTTCTCACTGTCAATTTTCAGAGGTGCATGTGTAATTTAATTTCATTTTGTTTTCTACATTTCTCTGTAGTACTATGCCCATCAGAATGGCTCAAATACCAAGGAAAGTGTTATTGGTTCTCTAATGAGATGAAAAGTTGGAGTGACAGTTATGTGTATTGTTTGGAAAGAAAAGCTCATCTGCTAATCATACAGGACCAACTTGAAATGGTAATTGGCCAGTATCAGGGTTATGGCATTAGTCTTTTTGCAGTTAAAAATAGCTTTCCTTAAATATCTTTCCATCTTTGCATTAAATCATCATTTACCTTGATTATTGAGTTTTGGGCACCCTCTTAAAATTGGGCATGCCTCACTTCTCATGCTAGATATGGCTTAAATTCATATATTCAACTTGCAATTGTGTGTGTGTGTGTGTGTAACATATATATGATATAATGTGTGTATGAGTAAGATATGAATTGATTTGTGTAAGAATCCCCAAGCAGAGTGCTTTTCTTTTTTTTGCAGTGAAATTTAAAATCTTCAGTGCCTCTGAATTACTAAAATATTCTGCTCATTTAGTCCCTCATTGTCCACATTTCAGGCTTTTATACAGAAAAACCTAAGGCAATCAAACTACGTATGGATTGGGCTTAACTTTACCTCCTTGAAAATGACATGGACTTGGGTGGATGGTTCTCCAGTAGATTCAGAGATGTGAGTCTTTCATAAAAGGTGATATCTGATTTATTGTCTATTGTAAAATATGTCTCCAGAATGCACCTTTAGGTCCACCAAATTCAACCCTGAAATAGTTACTGGTACTACAAAATTTGAAAAAATGAAAATTAATTTAGTATTTATAGGAGTAATGATGAATATTTTGATTTGGTTTTTAAAGAAAAAGTATTTGAAAACAATAATGGTGATTTATGATTTTAGAATTTTTTACACTTTATATAGAAAAGTAGAATGTTGCAGTCTCTTTCTTTTTTAAATGGAGTCTTGTACTGTCACCCAGGCTGGAGTGCAGTGGCATGATCTCAACTCACTGAAACCTCTGCCTCCCAGGTTCAAGCAATTCTCTGCCTCAGCCTCCTACCAAGTAGCTGGGATTACAGGCACCCACCACTATGCCTAGCTAATTTTGTTGTAATTTTAGTAGAGACATGGTTTTACCATCTTGACCAGGCTGGTCTTGAACTCCTGACCTTGTGACCCACCCACCTTGGCCTCCCAAAGTGCTGGGATTATAGGCATGAGCCACCGCACCCAGCCACAGTCTCCTATTTTTAAAGTTCCTAATGTTTTCTTTAGCCATCTTCAGTAATAAAATAAAATCATTGTGCAATTTTTGTGTCATGTAATTATCATAATGTTAAAAATGCAAACAATAAATACAACATAGAACAAGATTATCCAAAAGTCTCTGAACAGATGCATGGAGTTATTGATTTTGAAAGTTCCATCAACATTTTTGTGTGCTTTATTTTATAATAAAATATTTAATTGAATATATAAATAGTGAAACAGAAGAATTCAAAATCCTATTATTACATTAGTAGGCAAGATAATGGTCCCCAAATGTCCACATTCTACTCCTGAAATGTTGTGAATGTTATTTCATATGGCAAAAGAGCCTTTGCAGGTATGATTAAATGAAGACTCTTGAGATAGGGATATTATGCTGGATTATCTGCGTGGTCCCAATTAAATCACAAGAGTCCCTAGAAGAAGGAGGAAGTAGAATTAGAGTAGGATTGGGAGATATGAAATGGAACACAGAGATTCACATGATGTGAAAGCGCCTCTGTTAGCCAAAGCACGCAGGTGGCTTCTGATTCCTCCCTCGTGCCCCCTGAAGGTGACTCTGCAGACACTTTGATTTTAGCCCTGTAGGGCAATCTTGGACTTCTGATATTCATAACTGTAAGATAATAAATTAGACTTGGTTTAGGCCACTAAGTTTGTAGTAATTTGTCATAGTAATGATAGAAAAATAATACAGTATCGTAATCAACTTAATGGTGCTATTGTGTTATTTTTCCCCTTATTTCAATTTCATCATTAAATATCACATATTTTCTATATGACTGCACTAAGTCATATAACAAGTGAATAAAAGCATTGTTTGATATGAAGTATAAAATTATGAATGTGTGTCATCTGAGAGCAGAGTTGTGTCACTGAACCTCATGAAGTTGACAAACTTGGTTTTGTCCTCTTGCCAAATCCATTCATCACTACCTTTAGGGTTGAGTTTTAACTCTAGATCATGCCTAGAAATTTTTGTCCATAATGTTTTCAATACAAAACTTAAATCTAAACTTGGACAAAGTGTATTTTCTAATGTAAAAATTCAGTACTTGTCCTTATCAATTTGGAAGCTTTGAAGACCATGCACATCTTTTCCAAGGTTCTTTCTTGAACTTTTTCCACAGGTCAAGCAAATTTATCACAGAATATATCATTAAAACTAAATTATTTTATAGATAACTTTGTTAACATTTTTAATATCTTACATTATAAGTAAATAATGCAATAAATGTGCAATTTATTATTTAGGTAGTACATAGGTTGATTTGTATATTGAATTATTTACAAACATCAATTCATATAACTGCTGTAACAATATCAGGAAATATTATCATTGCTATACAATCAGATATAAGAAGGCAAAAGAGGTTGTTAAGTGAGCTGTCCAAATGGAGTTAATCTTACTTTTTAATCTAACTGAACCATGTGGGCCAAGAAAAGAAATACTAGAATGGGAATGTGGAGGGAAATTTATTCTTACCTCTGTTATTTGAAGACTCTCTGGCAGTTCTTGACCAACCACAGGTAATAAGGCTAAGTTGCAGAGTGTGTAAGTGTTAATGAATCCAAGTATGTGAAAACGCTTTAAAATTTTGAATTACTTTTTTATTTAAAAGAGGATATTAGCAGAAGACACAAATGGATGTCTTCAGCAACAATGATTAACAAAGTATTTATTCTCTCTTCTCCAGATTCTTCATAAAGGGACCAGCTAAGGAAAACAGCTGTGCTGCCATTAAGGCAAGCAAAATTTACTCTGAAACCTGCAGCAGCGTTTTCAAATGGATTTGCCAGCATTAGAGTTCAACAAAATTCATAGTGAAATAATCAATGATCACTATTTTTGGCCTATTAGTTTCTAATATTAATTTCCAGGTGTAACATTTTAAAGTGCAGTTAAATGCAAAAATCTCTTCTCCCTTCTCCCTCCATCATCGACATTAGTCTAACCTCAGAATAACGTCTATTAACAAATTAAAATGTACCCTTCAAAATTTTTACTTGATAGTATAAGCCAATATGACCTCATATAATTATATCCAGGATATCTATTCATTGTTTATTTTATGCCAAATGTGATCAAATGATGCCTGTTTTTCCTGTATCTTGGCTTTTTAAATTCCTAATAATGTCCCAAGCAAAATTTCTTATATTTGTAAGGGTTGAATTATAATGTGGACTTATACATTTCTTACCCTTTTATCAAAGAGAATTAATTTTGTTTCCTGGCTTATGCTACTCTGCACTCATCTACAATAAACATCCTGAATATTTTCTTAAATATTTTTATTTCTTTGATATAAACCCTGAAAGTAGAATTTCTAGGTAAAAGTGTTAAATGTGTTGTTTATTTTATATTTTATACAATTTTTATATGTTGCACTTTTATTTCCAAAGTTAGAAGCTTTCAAAGTTAAAAGAAGGTATTAGGTGCAGAAAAAAGAATCTACTGCTTTTCTTGAACCTCTTGAGAATTAGTTGCCAAATCAATGCGTTTTATTATAACATTCCATTTGTTATTGGATACTTTTTGTGTATTTCCATCTGAAAAGGGGCCTTCTCCTACATATCCACAATAACATTATGAAAATCAGCAAACGTACATTGATATAGAACTATCATCTAATGTCCAGACTTCCTTCAAGATTTGCTGTTTATCAAAATAATGTTTTTTAGAGTAAAAGCATCCCACTCAGAATCAATGTCTGCATTTGATGACTATATCTCTTTAGCCTCCTTCAATATAGAAGAGTGCCTGAGCCTTCCTTGACATTCATGACCTTGACACTTTGAATATTGCACATTGGTTATTTCATAAAATGTTCTTCAACTGAAATTTTCTGATTGTTTCTCATGGTGAGATTCAAGTTGTATCTTCTTGGCAGAAATTGCATAGAAGTGATGCAGTGAAGCTTTGTTCTATCTGCATCCTTTCAGGTGGCACACAGCTTTATTTGTTCCATTGATGATTACATTTATTTCATTCACATGATTGATACCATTTAATTGTTACCATTTCTGCTTGAATTCACTGTAAAGTTATTATTTTCTTACTGTAGTTAATTCATATTTGGGGAAGTGACTGAGATGGCTTTAATATTCCCTTCAGATTGGGGCTAAATTTTTTTGGGGGGGACAGGGTTTCACTCTGTCACCGAGGCTGGAGTGCAATGGCATGATCTCAGCACACTGCAACCTCTGCATCCTATGCTCAAATGATCCTCCTGCCTCAGCTTCTCAATAGCTGGAACTGCAGGCATGCACTAGCATGCTTGGCTAATTTTTATATTTTTTGTAGAGATGGGGTTTCACCATGTTTCCCAAACTGGTCTTGAACTCCTGGACTCAAGCAATCTGGACACCTCGGCCTCCCAAAGCGCTGGGATTACAGGCATAAATCACTGAGCCTGGCCTTGAGGTTAATTTCTAAACAGGTTTCTTCTCAACTATAGGCACCTAGCCTCCCTTTTCTTAGAGCATTTACTTTAGTAAACTTATAATTGTAAATTTTTACTCTGCCCCCTTGACATATCAAACTTTTAAAAATCCTCTAGCAGATTTTATAACCCGAAAATATCTTTCTAAAGGACCTGGGAGTCACCTTTTTGAGATGTGTTTCCCAAGGATGATAAAGCCCCTATTTTCCAGTCTCTGTGGGAGGGTAGAAGCCTAACTTCAATGGGACACCTTGCTTCACTTTATAAAACTACCACCTGGCCAGGCGCGGTGGCTCAAGCCTGTAATCCCAGCACTTTTGGAGGCCCAGGCGGGTGGATCATGAGATTAAGAGATCGAGACCATCCTGGTCAACATGGTGAAACCTCGTCTCTACTAAAAATACAAAAAATTAGCTGGGCATGGTGGTGCGTGCCTGTAATCCCAGCTACTCAGGAGGCTGAGGCAGGAGAATTGCCTGAACCCAGGAGGCGGAGATTGCAGTGAGCCGAGATTGCGCCATTGCACTCCAGCCTGGGTAACAAGAGCGAAACTCCATCTCAAAATAAATAAATAAATAAATAATAAAACTTCCACCTGTCACAGGATTTGTCAATGTCAAATAAAATATAGAGATGAATCTCTAAGTTTTAAAATGTTTTGATTAGAAAGTAAGAATTGTAAATTGGGGCATATATAGCAACTGGGTAGTCTTAAGTATATCCAAAGAATAAAGAGAAGTGTGGAAGTTTTATTAAGAAATGTCATGTATTGCTTTGAAAGAAAGCATGTTGGCCCTAGTAAAATTCTGGGGAGCTGGCAAGTTCTGATTGGTGAATGACAGTAGTAGGTGAAAGTAGTCTTAGAATCACAGTAGGTTATTTTAGTAGCTATTGGTAAACTGGTTTTAGGTTACACCAGGCAGTTTTAGCAGCCAAGCTTATAGAAAATTAAATTTTTGGAGCAATGATATGTACCTTGAGTGCTTTTTTCCCCCCCTGGCCTGTCTACTCTGCTTTGGTTGAGTATGACAAAATGACCTACTTTGTATGATCAACTTTTACATCTTTCTCTTTTATTCAAGATCTCTTTCTGAAAGCATTGTTAGTCAACCATTTTGAAGTTAGGCTTAATTGCCTCTGGTGCCAGGATAGACCTGTCTTCTTTGTCTCTGTCTCAGATGAGAGGAAGGTATGAAAGTCTATGTCAGGGATCTGGCTCATGTTTGCTCAACAGAAAGACCAAAAGAAAAAAAAAGTTTGTTTGGAGTCTAGCATCAAGTTTATGAGTATTTTAACACTTTGATTGGGATCAAAAATCATCTCAAAGCATTGGGCAAATGTTTTGTTAGGGCAGATGGCTTCATAATCATTTAATACGAAATAAGAATAAAGCTTTAATATAACAATAATTAACAACAATATAACAAGTTTAGTTTATTATTGTTATTATTATTATTATTTTATTGCATTTTAGATTTTGGGGTACATGTGAAGAATATGCAAGATAGTTGCATAGGTACACACGTGGCAGTGTGATTTGCTGCCTTCCTCCCCATCACCTATATCTGGCATCTCTCCCCAACTCCCCACCCCTGTTGTCCCTCCCCTATTCCCCCCAACAGACCCCAGTGTGTAGTGCTGCCTTCCCTGTGTCCATGTGTTCTCATTGTTCAACACCCACCTATGAGTGAGAACATGCGGTATTTCATGTTCTGTTCTTGTGTCAGTTTGCTGAGAATGATGTCCTCCAGGTTCATCCATGTCCCTACAAAGGACACAACTCATCGTTTTTGATTGCTGCATAATTTTCCATGGTGTATATGTGCCACATTTTCCCTGCCCAGTCTATCATCAATGGGCATTTGGGTTGGTTCCAGGTCTTTGCTATTGTAAACAGTGCTGCAATGAACATTCATGTGCATAGGTTTTTATAGTACAACAATTTATAATCCTTTGGATATATACCCAGTAATGGGATTGCTGGGTCAAATGGAATTTCTATTTCTAGGTCCTTGAGGAATCACCACACTGTCTTCCACAATGGTTGAACTAATTTACACTCCCACCAGCAGTGTAAAAGTGTTCCTCTTTTTAGCATCTGTTGTCTCCAGATTTTTTACTGATCAACATTCTAATTGGCGTGAGATGGTATCTCAATGTAGTTTTGATTTGCATCTCTCTAATGACCAGTGATGATGAGCATTTTTTCATGTTCGTTGGCCTCATGTATGTCTTCTTTTGTAAAGTGTCCGTTCATATCCTTCACCCACTTTTGAATGGGCTTGTTTGTTTTGTTCTTGTAAATCTGTTTTAGTTCTTTGTAAATTCTGGATATCAGCCCTTTGTCAGATGGGTAAACTGCAAAAACTATTTTCCAATCTGTTGGTTGCTGATTCACTCTAATGACTGTTTCTTTTGCCATGCAGAAGCTGTGAAGGTTGATTAGGTCTCATTTGTCCATTTTGGCTTTTGTTGCCAATGCTTTTGGTGTTTTGGTCATGAAGTCCTTGCCTACTCCTATGTCCTGAATGGTTTTGCCTAGATTTTCTTCTAGGGTTTTTATGGTGCCAGGTCTTATGTTTAAGTCTTTAATCCATCTGGAGTTAATTTTAGTGTAAGGTGTCAGGAAGGGGTCCAGTTTCTGCTTTCTGCACATAGCTAGCCATTTTTTCCAGCACCAACAAGTTTAGATTTTACAATGCTTTCAAATTAAAACTAGACAAATACAAAGATGTGAGACCTGTCTGCAGACAAGGAGTAGCATTTTGTGATTGGGTTGAATTAAACCAGAGGATGTCACCTTTGTAAGAGGGACTACTAATGCAATTTGAAGAAAAAGTTGTGTTAGGAATATTGTCAAAGATATTCACTAGATTTACTAAAAGGATTTCTTAGGTCAGATTTTGTCAACTTATCTAAAACAGTTACTAATTGTGAATTTTAATTACTATGTTATCTTGCCAAATGAAAAACCTTAAGGAGGAAAACGTGTAGCATTTTGTTCCTCATGGTGTGGCGTTTTGTTCCAATATCTTGGGGAAAGCATGAAAACAATCAACTTTTCATCCTGGTTTATAGTTTGAATATCTCTGATTATGGCATCAGGTGGTTTGGTAAACTTTTTGTGGTCCATACATTAGGCCGAAAATGTGTTTTTAAAATTTATCTAGTTTCAGCTTATTGGGCTTTAGGAACAGAAAAGTTCTCATTTTTGTACTTTGATGCAAGAGAGTTGGATTAGAGAAATGTAGAATAATCTATGGCTTTGCCTAATTTAGAGATGGATAACAAGAACTCAGAAACAATGTACAGAGTTATGATCTAACAACAGATGTATTATAGTTTTTTTCTAGAAACTCAACTTTTTTTCTACATTGATTATACAGAAATATCAGATTTTAAAACCTCTTGAGGGTAGAAAGCCAAACTAAGGCAAACTTTATATTTTATTTATAGTTTTAAGGTCTTTGGAACTTCCAGGAAGTAAGTGTTTATATACTCATTGTAAGGCTGTGAACCTTCAAAGTTAAGCATGTTATGAATATTGTTAAATATGACATTTCAGACAAAACCTTAGTAATGTAACCTGTCTTTAATTGTATTCTGCTATTAAGAGAGAGCAGAATTTTATTGGACTTATGTAAATAACTTTACTTAAATAACCATACCGACATAAGAATACTAAAAAGTACGTTTAAAATGTTGCAGGAATCAAGTAAGGAGAAAAAATAGCAAATGCTTTTATCTTTTTTCACAAAAGTATATTTTATCAAAATACTGTAAGTTATAGATAGCTCAAGAGAGAAAATTTCTTTATACCTGAAAGACAAAACATTTGAGTAAAAACAACCTTCAAATAAATGACGTAAGAACATTATCAGTTCTAATGTTCTATAGCAGAGTAGGGTGACTATAGTTAACAACAACGTACTGTATATTTTAATATATCTAAAGAGGATTTGAAATATTCTCAACACATAGGAATAGTAAACATTGAAGAGGATGGATACCCTAAGTACCCTAACTTAATCCTTATATATTCTATTCATCTACCAAAATATCACATGTATCTCATAAATGTATATAAATATGATGTATAAATTTAAAAACCACTTGATTAAAACAGAAGCACGGGTCACTGTAAAATAATAACTCATCAAACCAGAGTGATAATTAAAAGACTTCAACAATAATATAAAAAGTTACATGAATGGAAAAAATCTCAATTATTTTAAAGCTCAGTTTTTTAAGTAATTAAAAACCTAATAAAAGCAACACAGCATTTATTTTGATTAAATGTAAAATCTTTTTATTTTAAGCCAGCTACCAAAAGGGTAATCTTTTGCAGTGTAATTGTTTTTCCTTAGATAATCTGGAAGTTGGACCTGATTAAAAGGACAGGTGAATTTAATCAAACACAGAAAAAAATGTTTCTAACATTATAAGTGCAACAATTAGATATATCAAGAAAAACAGAGTACAAAATCAAATTACATTGGTGAAAAATACTGCTTTTCTAGGCTTTCATGGTAAGTATTTTACTGTCAGGCCATAACAGCAAAGTTAGAAGCAGAGGAAAAAAGTTGCTGGAGTGTACAACAAAGCAAAAAGGCCTTTTCAAGGTTCTTGTGGTATTCTTTTTTTTTTCCTTTTACTATTTTTATTTTACACTATAAAAAACAACATCAACATACTGCTTTTCTTCACATTCACATGGGTTTTAGAAAATTATTGCCTTTTCCCTTGGAGAAATAACCAACAGACTAAAAGAAAGAAAAAAAAAGTAGTAGCACATTGCAAAATCTGTAAATCCCAGAAGTCCACAGGTTGAAGACAATCTCGAGGGGCAGGGAGGAAAACAACTGTCACAAGAGACATAAGCACACAGGACAGGAAGCTGAGGAAACCAGTGCTCAACACTACTGACTCAGGATACACAGCAAGTACCCTTCTCCTCCAGGCATCTACTGCCACCACCTCGAGGGGATGACTATTTTTGGTCTATGATCTGAAAAACTCTTTTCTCAAATGAAGAGTTGCTCTGAGAAGAGGTGGAATGAGACAAGTTCAAGTATGAATAAGAATCATGGCAAAGTCCAAGAACCCACGGCCAAAAAAAACAACCAAAAAGAGACAGCATCTTGCTACTTCAACCAACTGCCTCACTGGACCCAAGAGGGTATCTAAAAAACATTTCAGGCTTCAAATCAGGATACTGATCATGTCCCTACAAACCCTGTAGGGTTACTTTCCCAACTAGACAGTGATCAGCTTATGCCCTGAAGCAACGGAGACAGACATTGAAACTACCAAAGTTCAAAAAATAAGGTGGAAATTGTGCTTCCTTCAGAATGAATTGGCATCATAACTGCCTTTTCTCTTGGTCCAGCAACTTCTTTCTCCCATGTTGCTGCAGGTATTTATTGCCTTATGCTTGAAATGAAAAGGCAAACTTTGAGGTGCAAGGACTGGGCAGTCTGGAGAGGGAAGGGAGTCTGGAAGTACAGTAGTCAGCACATGCTGTGCTCCCCTAATGGCTTGGCCTTCCTTCAGTCCTGAGAACCTAACCTGAGGTCCGTCTGAAGTTCATTTGCAAGCCTGGTGACCACTCACTATCTCACTGGGGCAGCATGACAGAGTGAGATCTTCAGTATTGCACAGGTATGAAATGTCCATGAGTCTTAAAACCAAAAACTACAGTTGCTCTTGGGGCTGGGCTGGTTCCTCCATCCCAGTTTTAGGGGGATGTGGCCATGGCCACAGGGCTTCTGCTGAGTTCCAAGACTGTCGACTGGGTGGGCACCGGCGCCAGCACCGAGGCAGGGAATGTGCAGTAGGCACCCTGCGTGTCAGGGCTCAGTGTCTGTAAATGGCCTATCAATGAAGAGCCTGCTGCCTCCCCTTGGCAGGAGGGAGGCTGGGGGTTGGGCGTGGAGGGCAGGATCTCAGATTTGCACTGCAGAAGCTGGGCCATGAAGCCAAAGTTGGGTGAGACCATATGCCTCCTCTGCTTGATGTAATCGAAGGCCTCGTTCAGGTGGACCTGCTTGGTCTTCCTGAGGTAAGCCATGCAGATGGTGGGTGAACAGGAGATCCCAGCCTCCCAGTGGACCAGGACCTTGCCTCCCTTTTCCCTGACACCGTCAATGAAGTCTATTGCTTCTTGAAAGTAGGAGCTAATGTCAGCTGTGTGGCTGTCTTTCACAGGGATCCATTTGTAGTGTAGGTGGGTCGTGCAGGCCTCGGAGGTCCGTCGGGAGACATTCAGTAAGGCTGTGATGTGCAGGTTGGCGAGGAACTCGCACTTGGACGCATGGTAGGCACTTCCAAAGTAGAGGAAGGGAAGGATTTCAACTGGGTTGAAATGGTTACCCAGTAACCCATGACCTGGGTTACCCTGGTCATAAGCTGGCCTGTAGCTGACTGGTTTTCCGCACTGGCTGATGAGGGCTCGCTCACTCTCAATCATCTCTTGTGAAATGGGTTTTACATCCAGGCAACACTCGGGATATTCCGAGTAGAAGGTCTCATATCCCCCTTTGAGGAAGTACATCTGCGGGCAGGCAGGCAGGCGACCAGCGAGGTGCACGCAGCGCTCTCCTCTCGCAGCTTCCGCCAGTGGCGGCTACCCTGGTCCAGCACCACCATGGCCGCCATGCAGCCACCGCCCTCCTGCAGGAGCCACGCGACACGCACGCCGCCCCCTGGGGCAGCACGGAGTCCGCCGACACCGTGCCGCCCCGTGCCCGCCACAGCACCACCGAGTTGAAGCTGACGCTGAGCGAGCCACGCTCGAGGCGGGGAAGGCAAGGTAGGGCGGGCAGTCAAGCAGCGAGCACCGTGCCACAGCCTCCTTGCCGAGCATCTTGCGCAGCTGGCGCCGGTCGAGCGATGTGACCTTCAGGCCGCCGCCGCACAGCGGCCCCGTGCCGCGCACCCCGCGGGTGCCCACAGCCAGGGTGCCAGCGGGCGAGGAACAGGAGGGTGACTCGCCCGGTGCCCAAGTGGCAGCGCAACTCCGCGTTCCTGCCCGGAGCGCTGGACAACCACGCTGGCTGCTCACAGCCCTGGAAGCTGCGGATTCCACTGGCCGCACAACATTTTATGTGAATGAGTCTCTCCATGGTATTAAAACTTAAGGTAGGAGGAGGGGACTCAAGATGGCGCTGTGAGAACAACCCAGGATTGGAGCCCGCGTAGAATTCGCAAACGGTGAGTCAGTGCTGCATTTCCAGACTGATCTTTGTTGCCCACAGAACGGGGAAACTCCCAAGTATAAAAAGACACGGGACGCCAGGCAGTAGGTCTGCCTGGCGAAGCCGGCAGCCGGGGCGGCGGCGTCCGGCCCTACCCAGCAATCCCCACAGGGCGCGCTTGTCCGGGTGCCTTGTTGAACCGGCAACCTGAGACTTGAGAGGGCTGGACTTGAGACTGAACAAGACTTGCACAGTAGCCCAGCCCAGGGGATTGCAGGGACAGATCGCTTGGAATACCCAGTGGGACGAACAAAACCGCGATTTCAAACTATCCCGGGCAGACGGTCCGAGACGCTCTGTGGGGGAGGGGCGTCCACCACTACGGAGGCAACCTACCCCAACTGATATACACGCCCACTGCTGAGGCAGCCAGCCATTGCCGAGGCAACCCGCCCCAACTGAGATACACGCCCACTGCTGAGGCAGCCAGCCGTTGCCGAGGCAACCCGTCCCTACTGAGATACACGCCCACTGCTGACGCAGCCTGCCGTTGCTGAGGCAACACGCTACAACGAAGAAACTCCGCCGCAGGGCGTGGCGGAGACCACAGCAGAGCCGGCAGGAACAGCGCGAATCACACAACAGCAGGGCGGAGCCTCGGCAGCCAAACAGTGGCTAGTCTGCCTTTGAGCTGGGCAGGACACCTGATCGGACATCCAAAAATAAAGCCCAAACCCCTCAACACAGAGCATTTGAGAAAAAAAAAGGGTTGCTTAATGAGCTGTGTTGCAGCAGAATCAAACATAGCAGCCTAACAGCCCTGAATGAACAACAGAGTGCACAGCTCAGCAATTAAACCCCTATAAAGTACAAACTGTCTCCTCAAGCAGCTCCCTGACCCCTCTATATCCAAAAGACTGTCATTAGGCAGGCATCATCCTGGGACAAAGAGAGCAGAAAAAGAAACTGGTAGCATCCCTCGCTGTGCCACGGCTACTAGAGGTGCACCCCAGACAAGCAGGGTCTGGAGCGGACCTCAACAGTCGTACAGCGAAGGGGCTAGACTGGTAGAAGGAAAACCAAGCAACAGAAATACTTCATCATCAACATTCTGGGTGTCCACTCAGAGACCCAAATGAAAAGTCAGCAACTACGCAGACGACCAGCAAACAAATCCACAAAGATGGGAAGAAACCAGCGCAAAAAGGAGGAAAACACCCGAAACCAGAACACATCGCCTCCTAGAAAGGACCAAGACTCCTCACCAGCAAGGGAACAAAGCTGAATGGAGAATGACTGTGACGAAATGACGGAATTAGACTTCAGAAGATGGATAATGAGAAACTTTTGTGAGCTAAAAGATCATGTATTAAATCAATGCAAAGAAACGAAGAACCTTGAAAAAAGATTTGAAAAAAGATTCGAGGAAATGATAACAAGAATGGATACCTTAGAGAGGAATATGAATGAATTAAAGGAGCTGAAAAACACAATACGAGAACTTCGCGAAGCAAACGCAAGTTTCAATAGCCGAATTGACCAAGCAGAAGAAAGAATATCTGAAGTCGAAGACCAACTCAATGAAATAAAACGAGAAACCAAGATCAGAGAAAAAAGCGCAAAAAAGAATGAACAAAGTCTCCAAGAAATGTGGGACTATGTGAAAAGACCTAACCTACGTTTGATAGGTGTACCAGAAGGGGACGAAGAGAATGAATCCCAGCTAAAAAATACTCTTCAGGACATCATCCAGGAAAATTTCCCCCACCTAGCAAGACAAGCCAACACTCAATTGCAGGAAATACAGAGAACACCACAAAGATATTCCGCAAGAAGAGCAACCCCAAGGCACATAATCGTCAGATTCAATAGGGTTGAAATAAAGGAGAGAATACTAAGGGCAGCCAGAGAGAAAGGTCGGGTCACCCACAAAGGGAAGCCCATCAGACTCACAGCAGATCTCTCGGCAGAAACACTACAAGCCAGAAGAGAGTGGGGGCCAATATTCAACATCCTTAAAGAAAAGAACTTTCAACCCAGAATTTCATATCCAGCCAAACTGAGCTTCAGAAGTGAAGGAAGAATAAAATCCTTTGCGAACAAGCAAGTACTCAGAGATTTTGTCACCACCAGGCCTGCTTTACAAGAGCTCCTAAAAGAGGCACTACACATAGAAAGGATCAATCAGTACCAGCCATTACAAAATCACACTGAATGCTAAAGAGCTTCAACATAATGAAGAATCTACAACAACTAACAGGCAAAACAGCCACTTAGAATCAAAATGGCAGTATCAAATTCACACATAACAATATTAACCCTAAATGTAAATGGACTAAATGCACCAATCAAAAGACACAGACTGGCAAATTGGATAAAAATCCAAAACCCATCAGTGTGCTGTATCCAGGAAACCCATCTCACATGCAAGGATACACAAAGGCTCAAAATAAAGGGATGGAGGAAGATTTACCAAGCTAATGGAAAGCAAAAAAAAGCAGGAGTTGCAATTCTCATCTCTGATAAAATAGACTTTAAAGCAACAAAGATCAAAAGAGACAAAGAAGGCCATTACATAATGGTAAAAGGATCGATACAACAAGAAGAGCTAACGATCCTAAACATATATGGACCCAACACAGGAGCACCCAGATACATAAGGCAAGTTCTTAATGACTTACAGAAGGACTTAGACTCCCACACAATAATAATGGGAGACTTTAACACTCCACTGTCAATACTAGACAGATCAACCAGACAGAAAATCACCAAGGATACCCAGGGCTTGAACTCAGACCTGGAGCAAGCAAACCTGGTGGACATTTACAGAACTCTCCACCCCAAATCCACAGAATACACATTCTTCTCAGCACCACATCACACCTACTCTAAAATTGACCACATAATTGGAAGTAAAGCACTGCTCAACAAATGCAAAACAACTGAAATCATAACAAACAGCCTCTCAGACCATAGTGCAATCAAGTTAGAACTCAGAATTCAGAAACCGACCCAGAACCGCACAGCTTCATGGAAACTGAACAACTGGCTCCGGAATGTTGACTGGGTAAACAACGAAATGAAGGCAGAAATAAAGAAGTTCTTCAAAACAAATGAGAACGAAGACACAACGTGCCAGAACCTCTGGGACACATTTAAAGCAGTCTCTAGAGGAAAGTATATAGCAATAAGTGCCCATATGAGGAGAATGAAGAGATCCAAAATTGACACCCTATCGTCAAAATTGAAAGAGCTAGAGGAGCAAGATCAAAAAAACTCAAAACCCAGCAGAAGACAAGAAATAACTAAGATCAGAGCTGAGCTGAAGGAGATTGAGACACGAAAAACCCTTCAAAAAATCAATAAATCCAAGAGCTGGTTTTTTGAAAAGATCAACAAAATAGACAGACCACTAGCCAGATTGATTAAAAAGAAAAGAGAGAACAACCAAATAGATGCAATAAAAAATGATAAAGGGGAAATCACCACAGATTCCACAGAAATTCAAACCATCATCAGAGAATATTACAAACAACTCTATGCGCATAAACTAGTAAACCTGGAAGAAATGGATAAATTCCTGGACTCCTGTGTCCTCCCAAGCCTAAACCAGGAGGAAGCTGAAACTATGAATAGACCAATAACAAGGTCTGAAGTTGAGGCAGCAATTAAGAGCCTACCTCACAAAAAAAGCCCAGGTCCAGACGGGTTCACAGCTGAATTCTACCAGACACACAAGGAGGAGCTGGTACCATTCCTTCTAAAACTATTTCAAACAATCCAAAAAGAGGGAATCCTTCCCAAATCATTTTATGAGACCAACATCATCCTGATACCAAAACCCGGCAGAGACCTAACGAGAAAAGAAAACTTCAGGCCAATATCCATGATGAACATAGATGCAAAAATCTTCAATAAAATATTGGCAAGCCGATTGCAACAGCAAATCAAAAAACTTATTCATCATGATCAAGTAGGATTCATCCCAGGGATGCAAGGCTGGTTCAACATACGCAAGTCTATCAACGTAATTCACCACATAAACAGAACCAAAAACAAAAACCACATGATTATCTCAATTGACGCAGAGAAGGCATTTGACAAAATTCAACAGCCCTTTATGCTAAAAACCCTCAATAAACTCAGTATCGATGGAACGTATCTCAAAGTAATAAAGCTATTTATGACAAACCAACAGCCAATATCATACTGAATGGGCAAAAACTGGAAGCATTCCCTTTGAAATCTGGTACTAGACAAGGATGCCCTCTCTCACCACTCCTATTCAATATAGTACTGGAAGTTCTAGCCAGAGCAATCAGGCAAGAAAAAGAAATAAAGGGTATTCAAATAGGAAAGGTGGAAGCCAAATTGTCTCTATTTGCAGACGACATGATAGTATACCTAGAAGACCCCATCGCCTCAGCCCAAAAACTCCTGAAACTGATAAACAACTTCAGCAAAGTCTCAGGATATAAAATCAATGTGCAAAAATCACAAGCATTCGTCTACACCAATAACAGACTTAAAGAAAGCCAAATCAAGAGCGAACTGCCATTCGCAATTGCTACAAAAAGAATAAAATACCTTGGAATACAACTCACAAGGAACGTAAGGGACCTCTTCAAGGAGAACTACAAACCACTGCTCAACGAAATCATAGAGGACACAAACAGATGGAGAAACATTCCATGTTCATGGTTAGGAAGAATTAATATCGTGAAAATGGCTATACTGCCCAAAGTAATTTACAGAATCAACGCTATCCCCATCAAACTACCATTGACTTTCTTCACAGAACTGGAAAAAACCACCATGAACTTCATATGGAACCAAAAGAGAGCCCGCATAGCCAAGTCAATTCTAAGCAAAAAGAACACAGCGGGGGGCTTCACACTACCGGATT